CAAAACATTTTGTCCATGTCATTACTTTTTTATGTTTTACGCTCCACATCATAAAAAAAAAAAAAATGCCACATATGCAGAGTTAACGGTAGAAATGAACAGAAGGACTAATGGTGTGCATTTGTTAGAGTTGAGGGATCAAAAAAGTGCAAAAAATTGTTGAGGGATCAAAAATATGCATTTCTTAAAGTTAAGGGACCAAATTTAACATTTAACCTTATTACTAAGTGGTACAAAATCGAAAAAAAGTATAAAAATCTAAAATGTTTTGTTTTCGAGGAGTCTATAAAAGGAAAGATTTGTCTGAAATCAGGGTCCATTCATCTGAAGAAAGGCAGAAACCTCCTTTCCCCCTCATCCCTTCTTCAAAAATTTCCTTGAATTTCCGACCCCCCAACAGCTCTTCATCTTCAAATTTAGATGCAGTAAAGCCCCTTTGATCTTTGTGCTATGAATTCCTTTTGATTTTGACACTGTGAGAGTGGAGAAGGCGAGAGCCATGAGCAGGTACGACCGAATCCTGAGCATAGCCAAAATTTTCTGGTTAATTGAACTGATTCCCGCTCTGGTGTTTCTGGCGTGGATCTCTGCTCGCCTTCCTTTCTTCCTCAGGATCTGCGGTGAGTTTTTTGCCAGACTTGGCGGCGTCATCGCTAGTCATCTGTTCGTTTTCCTCCTCTGCAACGTCATCATCGCTACTCTCCTCGCCAAGTCCGACGGATTGTCCGCCGAGAATCTCGGAGCCAACAATGCCGAGGATGAACTCTACGCGGAAGTCGTCAGAAACACAGAAAATCGGCAACCGTTATCTTCGGAAGATGCTGCAGAACTCTCGATAGAAGAGATTGTTTACCAGGACAAGGAGATCATCTCTCAAGTGAATGCGATTGATTTGGAAACGCAGCGCAATTTGGCGTCGGATCTTGATTCTGATTCGGATTTGGACATGGATAATCCGAAATCTTACCGGAGGAGCAAGTCGGAGAAGTTCGTTAGAGCAAGTGCGGGGAAAGGAAAAAGGGAACTACGGCGAATGGAAACGGAGAAGAGCGGGAAACTCGAACGACGCGGCGAGAAATTATATGCACAGGACGATCTGAGCAATGAGGAGTTTCAGCGGAAGGTTGATGAGTTCATCGCCAAGGAGTTGGAGTTTCGCCGGGGAGAATCGCTGGCCATGGTTCTTCAAAGCCAGGCCTGAAATGTTATGCCGTAAAATAGTTTTGAAAATGTAAAATAGAGAATTCTGAGAGTCCTTGTTTTGTTTTATTTTATTTTAATTCCCTCTTCCTCTTAGAATAGCCTGCTTATGATTTGTACAGTAAGTGATATTCTAAGGTGAAAGAAGAATATTTTCAAGAAATTTCTTTCTCTATCTCATTTTTTTCTTCTTACCGTTTGAGATTAAGAGTCTGTTTTACGGCCTAAATTATACAGTATTACCTAATATAAATTAATAAAAATTTATCTGTAATTTCAAATTTGAAGTTCTGTGGTGTAATTTGAATTGCGAAACTGTGAACTCAAAGTATAGAATTAATACTAATAGAAATGGTTATTACTTTTTGCCTGCTTGCAATAATTTTCATCTAGCAAGTGTTGAGAGAGACTAGCTAAAAAAATGTTATTAGCTATTCCTAGTGGCATATAAATTAAGCTAAGCTTTGGTAGGCGAAAAGTAATGGTATAAATGATGATGATTAATTGATCATAATAAAACTTGAAGCATAGAAGCAAAATTAGATGGTAGCTAAACAATCAAATGGTACTTACAAAACATCTTTAGAATAATTGAGCAATAACAGCTGTTGAGATGTTGATGGAAAAATAATCACCTCTTAAGTACTTAGACTTACTGCAAATTTGTTCTTAGTAGGAAGGATTAATTAACGTCTAATCAGTCCCGCTAAAGCCAAACCCACTTTATTATGATGCAATTACCACGTCTCTGACCAATATAATTTCTTGGGTTTTTCTTGAGCAACATTGTTTGGTCGTGGGTAATGGGTATTAGCACCAATGATCATGCAATAATTTTAAAGGCGAAGGTGTACACTTTAACTTTCACTATCTCCCTGTAGTCACTCTACCGAGAAAAAAAAAGGTTGCTTTTACATAAGAATGGAGAGATTAGATTCTAAAAAGTTGCTTATTTTAATTTCCCCCCCGACTTTTTCCTCTTTTTGGCCCCTTTCTTTTGGCAGTTGTAATGATGATAGTTTGTAATGTCATTAGATTTCAAAATGGATGTAACCAAACTTTCTGCACTAGACTTCCATTAAATGCCTTCTTTTTGAATCAACGATGAATCGATCTCCTCCTTAATTAGAACACTACTGCCCTCTCCTTTCCTTTTGCCCCTTCTCTTTTGTGTTAGTTTCTTCTACATGCTTCTCTCTTCTCAATGGGCCAAAGAGGAAGAGGTTTAGCTGTGTGGCATTAGAGTCAACAGTTGTGGGTACCAAAAGAAATTAAGTGTTTCAGTTAATTAAAAGAGTGTATATTCTAATCTATGCTTTAATTTTTGAGGCAACACTTCTCTACTTATTCATTTATGTATGGTTGCACAATTTGATTTCTTAATTAAGCATAATTGAAAGGATTGATCCAAAATCGTCATGATCATTTTCTTTCATGCCAACACCAACAATTATATGCACCCAACCCTTTTTTTTACCCAAAGTTAATTTGCATCTTGTGAAATTCTTTCTCATAAATTGTGTGCACCTTTATTAAAATTTGAATATAAAATCTCTAATTTAAACTTATAAGTTTTTATTTGATGTTGATACATCTTTTAGAAGCATGAATGATAAAATGAAAATGATTAGTACATGTTTGGTTCAACAAATTTTTTTGACATTCGTTTCGATTTAGTTATTAAAATATAATATAAATATTATCAACTTAAT